ATCTTTTTTTGTGTGTGTGAGGAAGATCAGCCCTGAGCTAACATCCGTGCCCATCTTCCTCTTTTTTTAGCTGAGGAAGACTGGCCCTGAGCTAACATCTGTGCGCATCTTCCTCTACTTTATTTGGGACACCACCACAACATGGCTTGACAAGCAGTGCGTCGGTGCCCGCCCGGGATTGGAACCCGCAAACCCTGGGCCTCCAAAGCGTAGCGCGCGAACTTAACTGCTATACCACTGGGCCGGCCCCTGAAGTAGTTTATTTTTAATTAATCCCTTTATTACTCATTCCTGTGTTAATATTTTCATATAGCCACATTAAATTTTATGCATCCAGTATGAATGAGTTTACCTCCGAATGATGATATATTTCTAAATCACCTTTCCCAAAACCACTCCCATTATCATGTGCATGAGAACCTATAACTACAAATTTCAGAGCAAAATGAATCAAATGGTGATGGAAAAGGAATGTAGGAAAGATGAAATATTACAAAACAGTATCTTTTAAAGCAATATATTCTTATGCAAAGGTATAAAGTGGAAAAAAAAAGAGGCTAATTAGTGAATGAAAGGTATATGAAGGGCAAAAAAGAAAAAAAAAGCTAGAGTAGGGGAATGGAAAAACAGAGAGAAGGAAAGTTCCAGAGTAAAAGTTGGGTGGAGCTTATTAAAATTCTTTGGTCTTGTGCCTAATTTAAGGGCATGTGCTAATTAGCTGGTTGTTTTACTAGGCCACATAGTAAATGATTCTAGTGAACACAGAAACAACTTTTATGTTGATCACGAACTACAAAGTATTATTTGAAAGTTTTATCTGAGTAAATCTACAGGCTTCTCCTATGGACATATTTCACTTAAGGATAAGTTTTTTATATGAACTGCTGAGGATAACTGCTTATTTTCTTGAATGGACACCACAGCATAAATTCCTACTCTGCATTCAAAACTTGATTAGTTCACCAGTTGTTAGAAAGATCCTGGGGCCAGCCCCGTGGCTTAGCGGGTAAGTGCTTGCGCTCCGCTGGCAGCCCGGTTCGGATCCCCGGGCCGGCACCCACGCACTGCTTGTCTGGCCATGCTAAGGCCGCGTCCCACATACAGCAACTAGAAGGATGTGCAGCTGTGACATACAACTATCTACTGGGGCTTTGGGGGGAAAAAGGGAAAAAAAAAAGGAGGAGGACTGGCAATAGATGTTAGCTCAGGGCCAGTCTTCCTCAGCAAAAAGAGGAGGATTGGCATGGATGTTAGCTCAGGGCTGATCTTGCTCACAAAAAAAAAAAACAAAAACAAAATAAAAGAAAGAAAGATCCTGCGGTAAAAACAATAGTTAGATACTGACATAACATCTCATAAATATGCATATGAGTCTTCACGCAAAGATTATTCATTTGAAAGCAGACTCTTCTTGGTTAACAGCTCTGGACTTCCATCGTAAGCCAAGGGAGTCAACAACCTTAAACAAAGGAATACAGTCGGCCCTCTGAATCCACAGTTCAACCAACTGCAGACCCAAAAGCCTACAATGACTGCCTCGATACTTTTTTTCTTGTTATTATTCCCTAAATAATACAGCATAACAACTATTTATATAGCATTTACATTGTATTAGGTATTATAAGTAATCTAGAGATGATTTAAAGTATGCAAGAAGATAATAACAACAACAAACAAACACATGGAGACAGAGATTGGATTGGTGGTTACCAGAGGGGAAGCGGGGAGGGAGGAGGGCAAAAGGGATAATTCGGCACATGTGTGTGGTGATGGGTTGTAATTAGTATTTGGGTGGTGAACATGATGTAATCTATGCAGAAATAGAAGTATAATGCTGTACACCTGAAATTCATACAATGTTATAAACCAATGTTACTGCAACAAACAAAAAATTAAAAAAAAAAACAATAAAAAAAATAAACAACTACAGAGACACAGAAAAAAAAATAAAGTGTACGAGAGAGCATCCCTTGGTTATATGCAAATACTATGCCATTTTACATAAGGGTTTGAGCATCCATGGATTTTGGTACCCGTGGGGGTTCTGGAACCAATCCCCTGCGAGTGCTGAGGGAGAACTATATGTCTTATCTTAAACAAATTTATAAATATTTTGGATTATTTTAATATTTTAAATTCTCAACTAGAAAGTAAACTTAAGGGCAGACAGGAATTCTATACAGGGTCTGCCATGATATTCACAGTGCCTTGAAAATAGTATGAAATCAATTCAATATATTCATTCATTTATTTTATATCACTTGGCTTGCCAAACCTAGTACCATCAATTTTAAAGCTCAAAACTACTATATTACAGGCCTAGAACTGTAAACAAATGATTTAAGTCTTAACTTACTTCGTAAATTTATCCTTCCAAAGAATCTGTTAAGACATTCCAGACACCTACCCATTGAAATGCTTTTTAAATTTCATTAAGAAACTGTTATGTTTGGTAAAAGCCTTTAAAGCAATGGTATAGTCCTCAAAGTTGTCAATGTTAAGCTTTCATGACCTGGTCCTGATTCGCTCAGATAGAATACATCCTGAATTATAAATAATACAATAGAGTCTGTCCATTAAAACAGCTTATAGTCACCTATGGATTATCTAGGTAATAGGAACTAAAACCCAAAAATTAAATCCAGAGAGAATATAACAATCTTAGGTACCTGAGTGATTTCTACTTCTTTTTCATAGGTCTCTTATTAGGGTAATTGGTAGGCATAAAAATTGATGAATTGGACTCACTTTTTTTTCAAAAGTATAAAAAATATCATCAGACTTTATCTACTGAGATGAAATTTTTTGTATAGTATATAGATGTTAGACGGGCATTCTTCATAAAATATCACCACTCATCAGTAAGTTGTACCTGCTTATCCACTTCTTGCTTTTCAAAGACCTTTTATTCTGATCCCATAGATAAATGCCTAGCATGATTTACATCCTTATTATACTTGTTAACCAAGAACTACTCTTTGGAGGAGAAACCACAGGAGAATTTAGTGGCCCAAAGGAGAATTTACCAAATTCAGGAGAGTGGTTACCTCTGGGAGCAAAGAAGCAAAATATCATCATAAGGGAATGTGGGCATAGAGAGAGGAGTGGAGTGGGATATATCTTTTTTTTGTGTGAGCAAGATTAGCCCTGAGCTAACATCTGTTGCCAATCCTCCTCTTTTTGCTGAGGAAGATTGGCCACGGGCTAACATCTGTGCCCATCCTCCTCCACCTTATACGTGGGATGTCTGCCACAGCCTGGCTTGATAAGTGGTGCGCAGGTCTGCGCCTGGGATCTGAACCTGTGAACCCCGGGCCACAGAAGCAGAGTGCGCGAACCCAACCACTATGCCACCGGGCTGCCCCGGGATATATCTGTTTTTAATTTCATTTCTTAAGATGGGTAGTGGCCTGAGAGAGTCTTTTATATTTTTCTCTATATCTTTTTCTATTTATAAAACATTTCATTAAAAGAAAGTGAGTTACTGAATTGATATGGACCCAGCACTGGTGATCAAGGTAAAGTGAGTCAAGTTCTGACTTCAGTCCTAAAAGTCTGTTGCTGAAAGACTCACTTTGCCATCCACATGCCTCAGTTTCAGTAAAACATGAAAAATACTTCATAGGAATTTCATCTGGGAATTTCTCAGGGGAAAATATACCTTTAGAAACTAAATCACATTAAATCATGAGACACATTTGGGAGTGTTACCTACATTCCCACACGTTTATACTTTTTTTTTTTAAAGTCACCAACATTTTTCATTTCTGAAAAAAAAAGCAGCCTAGGACTGAACATGTTTTCTGCTGCTTCATAACTCAAAGAGAAGGTATACACCTTCTTCTTTATTTTTAATAGTATAACGTCAAGAAATGATTCACAGGTTTTCCCCCACTTTGCTTACATTTAGCAACTCTTTAATGAACCATCCACTTAAAACTATTTTTCCCACCTTTCCATCTTCATCTTATACAAAACCCTACAAGGTTGGGAAAATGAGTCTTCAGTGACAATGGACTTTCATTTCACTTACAAGCTTTGAAACTCTGAGCTACACTTACAGTTATCAGCTTGGTCTCCATCTATCTCTGAGACAATAACACTTCAAATGCAGAGCACGGACTTCAGAAATGTTTATACCAAAGTGTTGCCTTATGAGAAATGGAAACAACAGCACAATGGAAGAAGCCTGAGATTTAACTGGAAAATGTATAACTGAGTCTAAAAAATTAAGTCAAATCTTTTTTGTGTGTGTGTGTGTGAGGAAGATCAGCCCTGAGCTAACATCCATGCCAATCCTCCTCTTTTTGCTGAGGAAGACCGACTCTGAGCTAACATCTATTGCCAATCCTCCTTTTTTTCCCCTTTTCTCCCCAAAGCCCCAGTAGATAGCTGTATGTCATAATTGCACATCCTTCTAGTTGCTATATGTGGGACGCCACCTCAGCATGGCCGGACAAGCGGTGCGTCGGTGAGCGCCCGGGATCTGAACCCTGGGCCACCAGTAGCGGAGCGCGAGCACTTAACCACTAAGCCACGGGGCTGGCCCCCTAAGTCAAATCTTAAAAATGGTCCTGTTTATAGAAGTCAACAATACTAGTTCTATACCACATATATATATATACACACATATATATACCCATATCTCAATTGCGCAAGTCCTGCAAAATACTAGTAAAACACCACTGAATTCTAAATATGACCTCCTATAGCACTTACTTATCTTCTGCAAGGGCAAGAAATTAACAGATAGTTTCCTAGCAATATCTTATTAAAAAACCTTGGAAGGGATCAAGTAAAACAAAACTATGAGTGGTAAATTAATGTAAGTGAATGAAAGATAACTCATATGTTTTCATTCATTTTTCACAAAGTTATAAACCTCACAAAATTATAAACATTAAAAGCCTTATGTTCAAATTCCTATAAAATATTCAACTTCACCTGTAGATCTGCCTTGCCTCTGTCAAGATTTTGTTTCTTTGCCTTCTATTACTCACCAACAGCATCTGGATTTACCGGTCTGGAGACGTCAGCTTGCCCCATGATTATATTGTCTGATGTGTCCCACAACAAGAAACTGTCCCGGACCAAAGCAAACTTTTCTTAAAAGATAAATCCACGTAAGGAGAGGACATGCACTCCTCTCTCGGTGTCACTGCCAAACATCAGGAAATGGCATGAGGTCACATAATCTACTCGAGTTTCTGTTTCCCTGTATCCCGGCCTGGGCACTTGTGGTTCTTATGAATATGTCTTCACGCTGGCTCTCTTCGCACAGGAATGCCTGTCATTCCAGAGTGCACACTGTGAAGAGTTGAAATGCAGGAAGGGGAGGAGACTGCCAACCACATTCTAGCTGCTGAGAGGCACAGCCCTAAGACTCCACACCCACTTTTCCTAACAGTGAGCTTGGTTCAACTTCCTAGACTCATAGCCACAGAAGAAAGGGAGCCTGCTCAAGAGTCTACCAAAGAACTTAGAAATTTAATCACGCAAAAAACATCAGGGTTATGCGTAGCAGACAAATGGGAGCAGAAGTCTATTCAAAGGTATGCTTTAGATACAGACTTGCCTCACAAGTACCAGACTGTTCTGACATTTCACTGCTTGCTCTAAATGGTATTTCCTACCTGTGAGTGGCATACCCAAAGCAGGATGAGATCTATGTACTGGGAATTAGTAACATTAGGAATAGTATTTTAAGACTGAATATACCTTTTCTAAAGATAAAAAGAAAATTTTCTGAAATTTTTGCTTACTAAAATAGCAAACTTGAAATAAATATTTGGAAGGTATTATACAACATTTCTCTTTCTGCTAAAGCTCAATAACCACCATATATATGATCTTGGGGAATACAAAATTATAGGGAGTAGCCCTACATGCTAGGTATAATACACATGGAAATATCAGCTAACCACATGCAGCTTGCATACTAATTTTTCTTTTTTATTGAGATATAACTAAGTCACATATAGCCAAACACATAAATATTAAGGATACAGCTCAATCAATTTTTATTTACATACATACCTGTGTATGCAATTTAGAAACTATATTTTCTAAATGTAAAAAAGCCACTCTTTTTTTTTTTTTTTTTTTTTAAAGATTTTATTTATTTATTTATTTTTCCCCCCAAAGCCCCAGCAGATTGTTGTATGTCATAGCTGCACATCCTTCTAGTTGCTGTATGTGGGACGCGGCCTCAGCATGGCCGGAGAAGCGGTGTGTCCGTGTGCGCCTGGGATCCGAACCCAGGCCGCCAGCAGCGGAGCACGCGCACTTAACCGCTGAGCCATGGGGCCGACCCTAAAAAGCCACTCTTAACACAAACTTACCACAGTGTTTGGCCACATACTCTGGATTATTTCACAACCACCTGAAGATAAAATGGAGAACTAACAATTTTGAGCGCTATAGTAAGGAGTTTTACATTGGTTATTTCATTTAATCATCACCACTACCAACCATGCATTGTAAAGGATATGGATATTAATTTACCCTATTATCAGATAAGAAAACTAAGGCTAGTGAAGTCAAATTCTGTGTCTTACGTCACCAAGTTTATAAGTGCCAAAGCCCTAACAGTCCTTCAACAAATGACAGCTACCAAAAAAACAGAGCTTTTAGTGTCAATCTTTTTTCTCCAAACCGAGATCATTGAAAGATTTCTAGTATCTAGACTTTCCCTCTGCCTTTCCTTAACACCTCCTTTTTTCCCATTATCTTATCCCCATTATCTGCTTTTGATACAGGGGGAAAAAAAAAGGAGTAAAGGTAACAAATAAGAAAATGACAATGCTAAAGCATCAGTAAGAAAAAAAGTGTAGAAATACTCAGGCAATATTTAATTGTTAATATTGGCAGTAGTCAGAAAAACATTATGGGAGCTGGCCCGGTGGCGTAGCAGTTAAGTTCGCCTGTTCTGCTTTGGTGGCCCGGGGTTCACCGGTTCGGATCCTGGGCATGGACCTACTCACCGCTCATCAAGCCATGCTGAGGCGGCATCCCACACAGAAGAGTTACAACTCTACAACTACGATACACAACTATGTACTGGGGCTTTGGGGAGAAAAAAGGAAAAAAAAAAAAGAGGAAGATTGGCAACAGATGTTAGCACAGGGCCAATCTTCCTCAAAAAAAAAAAAAAAAGAAAAGAAAAGAAAGAAAAACATTATGATGTTGACCATGAAAGAGAGTAGAAGGAAAAATACGTTGAAAGAATGCTCCAATAATGTCCAACACCTTCGAACCCTGGCACTTAGATTTTTAAAATTTATTTATTTATTTATTTATTCCCCCAAAGCCCCAGTAGATAGTTGTATGTCATAGCTGCACAGCCTTCTAGTTGCTGTATGTGGGACGCGGCCTCAGCATGGCCGGAGAAGCGGTGCGTCGGTGCGCACCCGGGATCCGAACCCGGGCTGCCAGCAGCGGAGCGCATGCACTTAACCGCTAAGCCATGGGGCCGGCCCCCTGGCACTTAGATTTATTAGCCCAAAAGTAGAATATGTGCAATAGCAGTTTCCACTATTGTAAAATGGAGAGGCCAAAGGTGGCAAATGCATTGCCCATCACCCAGTAGGTGCTCAACATACTGTAGTTATCATCATTATCACCATGGAGATAACATAGCATATTGTTTAAGAGGATGAGCTTTGGAGGCAACTGAAATTTTAATTCCAGATCTATCGCCAGGTGTTAACACTGGGCAAGTTACTTCACCTCTCTGAGCCTTGGTTTTCTAACTTATAAAATGGGCACAAAAATATTTACCTGTACTGGGAAGTTGTAGGGATTAAATGACATGAACATAAATAAAGCCCTTTGCAATGTGCTTGGCACACAGAAAGCTCTCAATAAATGCAAGCAATAATTAATCCCAGTTGTTATAGTAAAAAACAAGTCCAGAAAGGAGAGGCCCGGTCAGGAGCAGCCAGACAATAGTGCACGGCAAAAAAACTCAGTCATTACAAAGAGGTGAGTCAGAAACGGAAGAGGATGACATTTCTCTATCATGATTCCAGAGAGTAAACTGGAAGAAGCAGGCCAAGAAGGAAGTCTGTACGCAATCAGGGTTGGTGTACAGAAACATCACGCACGTAGAACAGCTCAGACAGAAGTATTACTGTGAATAAGTTTAAACCAGGCACATTAAACACACACACACACACACACACACACAGAGCCCAGAAACAGTATCGCAGAACTAGTTTATGTTGACAGGACCATACCAGAGTAGAACAGATATGGTTCCTGGGATAGCTGCTGTTTACCGTATGCCAAACTGCCCATCTCGGCTTGGCTCACTGCCGATTCTAGGGTATTGTGAAGGCAGCAATAAAACTTAAAGATAAAAGAAACACAGGATTCTTAGGGATATCTGGCTTAATCTCCTACTCCTTATAGAAAAAGGAAACTGAGGGTCAGAGAGGTTAAATGCCTTGCTCAGGGTCAGGACTAAAACCCAAGTCTTCTGATTCTAACTCCAGGACTGACTTTGGCTCTTGTATAAATGGTCAAGGAAATATTTATTTCCTAAAGATACAGTATTCATTTCCCAAGGAAATCCATACTCTACTACAACAACAAATCCCTCAGAAATGCTAATTCTGTTGCCTATGTACCAAGCCAATACATGTTCCCTCACCAGCATGTTTCAGTTTCATTCTAACAATCAATATTTACTTTGTGCCAAATGGTAAACTGACAAACAGAGAAAGAAGAATATACTGGTCCATTGATGGCTTTAAAATTTAACATTCAAGCCTTGAATTAATTCTAGTTTTCCATGCATTATATTTTAGAAATGCAAAGGGAAGTCTCACTTTAACTTTATAAGAAGTAGACAACTCTCTCTTAACTGTTACCTAATAAAAGATACTTTTCCTCCACAGCTTTCAAGGAACGGGTGAAGTAACAGACTAAAATTTGTGAATATCTTCCTATTTTATTTAGGGAAAGAGCAAGAAAAGCCTTATAAAAATAAAGTTTAATTAATAGGCAAAGGAACCTAAGCTACAGCTTAGACTTAGACAGCACTTGAACCTCTTTAACCAGAGCCTTGTTTCATCAAAGAACTGTTTCTAAATACCGTATGTAACCTACAAAGAGCTGAGCATTCAAAACCTTTAGTGATATTTATAATTCCAAAACTTTTTGTTGGCAAGCACATCATGCCATACACTAATATGAGAACATGCTTTAAATTTTCAATAAACAGTTTACAAGATCAATCACAAGAGTATAATGTTTTCATTTAAATGTACTTTTATGCCGAAGTACCAATATAAATTGGATTACCTAGGAGAGTAAGCTCCTGGCTCTTTTAATTACATCTTCCTCAGCTTAATTCAGCATGCTACTTTCTTACGGCCTGAGATGTCTCAAGCAGGCGAGCTCTAGCGAGAGGTTAGGAAGAAAGTCACTTTCCTCTAGGAAAGGCTGACCAACGGAAATTATTAACAGGTCACACACATACATATTTAAGTAAAAGCCTAATTTTTAACTTTGGATATATAATTGGGGAAGGTAGAGGCTTCCTTTTCTTTACCTCATGATCTAACTCTGATCTAGTCTAGCTGGCTCTGGATAGTTACACGAGATAACATCCTACAATTAATAACCTGTATCTCACACTCCACGAGGAAAGCCTCGCTAGTCACTTGTAAACTCTTTATCGTCTCATCTATTTGTACAAATTGTTCCCTTGGCCTAGAATTTCTTTCCCAGATTCATCTAGGGAACTCCTACTCATCCTTTAAAAACTGGCTCAAATGTTGCTTCCACTATTATGAGCCTTTCCTGAGTTACTCAAGCAGAATGCCAATAAAGATTTACTGATCACTGATTATGTGCCCAGCAATGTGTTGGTGCTAAAAACAATAGTTTTGTCCTTAAGGTGCTTACAGTTCAAGTAAATAGGGTCTACAATAGAGTATGATGAACATTTAGGTACCATGCAAACACATGTTGGTGAGGGTGGGGGTGTCTAGCTTTGTCCTGAGAGATCAGAGAAAATATCTTGAAAGAAGTAACATCTAAAATCTGAAAGAGTCATGGGCCGGCTCCGTGGCTTAGCGGTTAAGTGCGTGCGCTCTGATGCTGGCGGCCCGGGTTCGGATCCCGGGCGCGCCCCAGGGCACCACTTCTCCATCCAACGCGAGGCTGAGTCCCACGTACAGCAACTAGAAGGATGTGAACCTACGACATACAACTATCTGCTGCGGCTTTGGGGGGAAAAACATGAATAAATAAAATCTT